AAAGACAAAAACAGCTGAAGAGTAGCTGAAAGACAAACAGCTGAAGAAGTTTAGAGTTCAAAAAGCAGTATGTTGAAGAATTTCACAGTTGATTCATTTTAACGAGAAACTAAATGTTTCAAAAAGATTAAAAGATCAGCTCCAAACAGCAGGAGTCTGAACATCTGAAAAACTTTGGACGAGTTAGATGCTGAAATACAGAAGACTCCTGGACAGGATCAATAGTGTGAATGATTGATCCTGATATTGGCAACAGGACCTTCTCCTCCACTCCTGTTTCCTGGAACATCTTGTAAAAAGATCTGAAGCTCTCGACCTTTGACCTCTCTAAGTGTCTTTAAGGATCTGTTGGACTCCTGGCAGGGACCGATGCAGACATGTTCCTGTTTTTAGTTTTATACATTCACCTTAGAATCTAGCTGTTTTTTTGTTGCTTTTTTTACATCTTATTTGTAAAAAAAAAAAAAAAAAAAAAAAAAATTGTAAGACTTTTTATAACTGTTTATTGTTTTCATCATTCTTTGTTAAATCAGGTCTCTGTTGTAAATGAGTCCTCGAGGCTCAGTGGGATTCACCTGTAGAAATAAAGGTTGATTGAATATTTATCAGTTTAAAGAAAATTAGTCTTTAGTTCAGAGAGACTACCAGAACCAATGCATTGTGGGAAATAAAAGTCCGTCCTTCAGGCTCGTTCTTTGATCAATAAACACGAAACAAACGACAGCTGTCTGAGGGCAGCCATCTTTGATGATCCAGTGTGTGTTGGTGTGTGTGTGTGTTCAGAGCTGGTGTGTCTGCCTCTGACCAGTTTCGGGGTTCAGACCTGCAGCGAAGACGACATGACCACCTGGAGGACTCAGGACTGCAGAACCTCTGAGGTGGACACGAAACCAGAGCCGTTCGGCTGGTACCAGAAACCAGGTCCTGACCCTGACGCAACACACACACACACACACACACACACAGAGGAGACGTGGTGCATAACGAGACGTGTTTGTGTCTTCAGTGGACCAGTGGACAGCGTCTCCTGGTCTCTGTCCTCCACTCAGCCTGCCTGATGTTAAGATCAACGGTGAGTCTGAAACTCTGCAGCTGCCATGTTTATGGTTCTGTTCTTAAGTTCTGATCCGGTCCAGAATTCTTTACAAGTTTGTTTTCAAGCAGCCAAACCTTGGTGGGGGCTCAATTGGTGGACCATGGTCCAGATCCAGACCCACATGAAGTCCTATCTGGACCCAGATCACTTGTTAAAGTTCAGTAGAATAAAACAGTTTTTTTAAATTGTTGCACAAATCTTCTAACAGTTACGGTAAGTCCTGGTTCTGGCCCGCAGTGGTACAGGTCTGAACTAACAACATTATGGTCTGGATCTGGACCTCGCTGAGTGGCTCCATTCCAAAAACTGGTCCAAAAGTCTCAGAACGTCTTTAAAACATGACAGGAAATGATCTGGACTGGGTCAGAACTTCTTTCTTCATCTGAACAGAATCTAAGCCAATCAAATGTTGCGTCTCAGTGTTGATGGACGAGTGGCGTCTCCTCTCGGACTCTGCGGTTCTGGTTGACCCGACCCTCACGACCTACGATGTCATCCACGTGAGCCGTGACATCGCCACCGACCAGAGCAGAACCAGAGCCTGGTGTCTAAATGGTAACTACATCTTTCAAAATAAAATCCCAAAGTGAAAACTCGTTAATGAACCCCGTTGCTTGTTTCCTGTCAGCCTGCCAGGAGGCGGAGTCTTGCATCGCCGTGTCGCTCAGTGAGACAGTGTCTGCCACTCGCTGCGTTCTCTACCCTGATACCACGGTCTGTGGGTTAAGCTCCGCCCCCAGCTCCTCCAGCCCCACCTCCTCCTGTCGACTGGTCCTCAGAGAGCCCGCCTCTCAAGTATACCTGCGGACAGGTAAGCTGAGGAGCCAATCAGAGAAGAGAACTGCAAGTGGATGGAATGTCACTCAGGTTTGTGTTTCTGCAGAGCGGTTGTCGTCGGCTACGTCCATTTCCATCCCGGGTCGAGGGACTCTGCAGGGCTTTACCGTAGAAACCGCCGTGGGATCAGACAGGAAGAAGGTGGTTCAGTTCCTTGGAGTCCCGTACGCCCGTCCACCGATCGGATCGCTCCGCTTTGAGGCAGCGCAGCCGCCTGATTGGACAGGAACCTGGGAGGCCACCAAACCTCGGTACGTTTTTCACATGTTGGATTAAACCCGCCGACCCGTCTGACCCGTCTGACCCGCCGACCCGTCTGACCCGCCGACCCGTCTGTTTCAGTCCCAGCTGCATTCAGCCCGGAGACATGGACACTTCAGCGTCCAGTGAGGACTGTCTCTACCTGAACATCTTCGCTCCCGCTGCCCTGGTGAGTCCCGGCACTTTAATCAAAAATATTTGAATGATTACAAGAAAACTGAAATCTGAACGAACAATAAAACATTAAACACTGAAGACTGAGTTTGTTGCAGCTCCTCAGACTGAAGAAGTCCTTTGGATAAAAGACGAAATGTTTCATGAAGTTTTGTGTTTAATCCATCCAGACGACCTGACTTAAGTTTGTTAGATATTTGTTCAGTAGTTACCGATCACTCTTCTTATTATAAACTTTTTATTATTACATTTTACATTTATTGATTCCTCCAGAATGTTTGCTTCATATTTGAGTTTAAATAATATTAATGACTGACTGTAAATTGAAATCCAGATAAAAACTTGTGTGTTGGTCGAAAGAGGAATAAATTTAATCTTTATTTGTTAAAGTTAAGTTGAATTTGAAATTATTACAATAATTATCTGTATTTTTAAACACGTCCATCAGAGAGCGCCTGTCCCCGTCCTCGTTTATTTCTTCAACCCTGTGGCCAATCAGAGCCCGGGACTGTTGGATGGCTCCGCCCTCGCCGCTCTGGGGAACATCGTCGTGGTAACGGCCAGCTATCGGACCGCAGCGCTGGGATTCCTGAGGACAGGTAAATAAATAAGAACACACGGCAGGTAAACAAACAGGTGTCTGACCACTGTCTCCGCCTCCAGGTGGTCTCCGTGGTAACTACGGCCTGTCAGACCAGGAGGCGGTGCTCCACTGGGTTAACGCCCACATCTCCCTGTTGGGCGGAGACAACAAGACGGTGACAGTGGGGGCGGAGCGTAGCGGTGCTGACATCAGCAGCCTTCACCTCCTCTCCTCCTCCTCCTCCTCTCTGTTCCAGAGGATGATCCTGATGGTCAGGAGTCCGTTCAGCTTCACGCTGATTTAAAAAGGTTCTTTTTCACACCTGACCCGGTTCTCTGTTCCTGCAGGGCGGTTCTGTTTTCTCTCCATCTTTGGTCCAGACCGACTCGTCCGCCAGACGTAAGACGATGGATCTGGCCCGAGAACTTGGCTGCGTGACCTCTGACCTCATCGATGACAGCGAGATGGTGGCCTGCCTCAGATCCACGCCTGTTCAGAAGCTGAACGCTGCTCAGACCAAAGTAAGTTCTGGATTCAGGACTGTTTGTTATGATGGAGGTCCAGGTTCTACAGCTCTGACCCGTCTGTGTTTGTGTTGCAGCTGCTAGCGATCAGCGGCCCGTTCCAGTCCTGGTCTCCGGTCCGTCAGCCCATCTCTCAGATGTCCTCCTTCCCTGGAGTGGACCTGCTGCTGGGGACGTCGGTGCACGACGGCCTGATCACCCGCGCCAGCAGGATTAAGGTCAGAGGTCACAACTGAGGTAGAACCTTCTGAGGGTTAACGGAACCACAGTCCCATGTCTGTCTGTCTGTTCAGGACTTTGAGGTTCTGCAGGGTCGGGTCGACAGTAAGACGGCGTTTTACGAAGCGCTGAGCCGCTCGCTGGGCGGAGCCACAGGAAACGAGCTGCTGAAGGAAGCGGCGAACTGGTTCTACTCTCTGGACCACAGTCCGACGGCGGCCGGGTACAACCTGTTCTCCAGAGCGCTCAACAACGCTACCAGGTGAGAGATGACCAGAACACGGTCCCAACCGGATCAGAACCACCAAAACTCAGTTTTCTATAACGATCTGCAAGTAAAGAGTATTTTTTCAGGTAATTATTTAAAAACTAAAATTACATGTGAGCTGAATCGAGCAAAGACTAAAAACTATTAATTTCCTAAAAGTGGGAACTTTTTGTTTTGATGCGCTCATAAATTAAATGTGACGCTCCAACATCAAAGACCTGAGAAAATAAACTGGAGGTGAACTTTGCAGAGATCTCTTCATCTACTGCCCCACTCTGAAGATGGCCGCCCACTGGGCCAACAGCAGCGCCAGCGTCTTTCTGTACCACCAACCACCGACCAGCGCCTTCAACAGGTAGGACCAGAACCACAGGAGGGATCTAACTTCTGATCCGGTCTTCCTGAAGTCCGTTCAGAGTTTCTCAGCTGGTTTTAGTATCTGAACATGATGAGAGGACCTTTGACCTCAGTCCTGGTTATTAATTATTGTTGGATTATTAAACTTCATGTGAAGCTCACAGCTGAAGATCAGAACTTTAACTGAGCTTTTCTCGTCTGCAGAGCCGATCACTCGGTTCCTCTGGACCTTCAGTTCATGTTTGGGACTCCTCTTCATCCAGCGAGCTTCCAGCGCTTCACCTCCCCTGACCGCCGTGTCTCTTTGGCCTCCATGACCTACGTCTCGAGCTTTGTCCGGACCGGGTCAGACAAACCGACAGTTCTGTAGCAAGTCCTGCAGCTGAACGTCTCATACGGGAAAAACTCACCTTTCCTGTTTCAACCTCAGGAACCCAAACCCATCTCGCACGTGGCCCGAGTCAGTTCTGCCCCGCTGGCAGCCGGTCCTCTCCTCTGAAGCTCCGCCCACCTACCTGGAGCTAAACCCCGGCCTCCATCATCAGCAGGGTCTGAGTCAGAACGCCTGCTCCTTCTGGAGCCAACTGGCAACCAGACTGACCCGGAAGACAGGTAACTACTGTAATCTGATTACTCTGGCTTTAACCAATAAGAGCCGAGGAGGGTCCAGAATCAGGAAGTACCCGTGAGCGTCTAAACACGAAACCATAAAAATGTTTCCTTTAACATGAGAGACCTGTCACCTGTGAATCAAATGAATATTCTGTAACGTGTAATAAAGGTTTATTTTTCTGTCTCCAGGTGTGTTGGAGGCGGAGCCTGTCCAGCTGTCAGTGACACTTGACCTCCCTGTGGGATCACCATCCGGCCAGTCGAAAGTCGGCTACAACTAGACCGATGACATCACCCTCCCCTATTACCCATAATTCAGTTTGATTGATTTGATCAATTCTTTTTCTAATCATCAATAAAAGCATCCAAACTCAGTAACGTGTTGTGGGCGGGTTCTTACCTGGACTGACAGGTGTGTCACAAGAGAGTTTTTTCACAAATAACTCCTCACTCGGACCAACAGAACCAAAAATCAGCTGAAGTTTCTCCAGAAAGGTTCAGATTTGAAATCGAGTCATTCCTCCCCATCAGCATTTAACGTCCAGCCAAGATGCTGGACGCATGAGCAGGAAGTAGTTTTAAACGCAGAGCACGACTTCCTGTTTCCTACAGACAGCTGCTCACAGCGTCCCGTCACAACTTCTTCCAAATAATTGGCAGAAAACAACACCTGACCGCAGCATTAAGACCTGCTGCCAACCAGGATTAGATTAAAAACATTAGCAAAAGATGGAGGATGAGGCCTTCCCTCCCTCAGAGATTACGCTGGGCAGCACAGCTGAGACCTAAGATCTGTTGGTGCGGTCCTTCACATGAAGCTCAGTGGAAAAGAAGTGAGGCCCTGACCCTCACCCCCTACAAACACTCCTACAGTGGCACACAGCGACCTGCAAAATGCTATAGAGTACAGATAATAACCCATGGATCAAGTTGACTGAAAACACAGAAAACCGTAACAACATACAAATGAGAATAATCTTAAAGTGGTGTGCACACATGATACACAATTTACTCCAAATAAATTCAGAGTCAGAATAATTATTGTACTTGCACAGTGAAATATAACACAATTACTTTCCGTACAGCCGCCCTGAAGACGGACAGCAGTGAACGGGGGCTGCTGGTTCTAAGATGCGCTGCCCCTGTTGCTTAGATAAGAAAAAGGGAAGCAAAACATGAGAGGTGTTAAAAAAAAGATCTCGCACCGTGTCGTGTTTGAGGCATCAAAAGAACGACCACAGCAACATAAACGGGTCCCAGCATGGCCGCCAGGTGAGTACCCAGCCCATGGCGCCTTCGCATCTTCTAGGTTGCTGCGCCAGTGGAGGCATTGAGTCACCGCACAGTCCAGAGCCCCCCAGCCATAGTCCTGATAAGAGGTGTTTGTTTGTCAGCCAGCTCGGTTGAGCTCGTCACAGATCCACGACCTTGGGGAGGGGGACAGAGCGTCTTTGTTTCCATAACTTCAAAGGAGAAATTTGAGATAGTCCGCCTTCCAAGACCAGGTCCAGATTCAGATCTCAACATTGTTTGTGGGTCAGGCTGAACTCGTACACTTGCGTGTCGGCCTTAACAGTCTCTCTAGTACATTCTCTCATGGCGACTCTCAAATTTGATTAATTACGCCAAGTCAAGCTTACAACTTCTCCAAGATTTATTCCTTCCAACCGCTCGTGGACACTTCCAGAAAGTTCCACAGTCCTGATGAGGATCGTCCTGCTCAGCTTTGATGCAGCACCACATACAGTTCGCACATAGTCTGAGTGCTCTTCATGCTCAGCACATTCCATACAGCTTAAACAGCTGCTGATGTTTCCGAAGTTGTCGGCAATCCAGATGTTCACCAACTCCAAAGAGTAAAATCCAGTTACCATAGATCCGATTATGTTTCTGTCGAGGTACGAGGGTTCTCCTGCACCCTGACTACCTGTAGAGAAAAATGTACCAATTTCTTTGTGAGACCAGCTGATCAAATCCATCGTTACAATTTGGAAGGTATGAAAAAAAAAAAGGGTTCTGAAAAAGGTTCACAAGACGAAGAGCAAATCAGGGACGGAGCAGAGGATGCGCCTGCCTTCCACTGCGAGCAAGAAAAATCAGACACAAGATTCAAGGAATGGACCAGAAAGGATTAGCAGCTGGAAGATGATGAAGGACAACACGCTACAAAGTTCTGAAAGGATGAAAGAAAAATACTCGTTAGAAAAACAGGATTTTTTTAAAAATCTACAGTAGGGTCAGCAGGGTCCTGGAGGGTGTGTGGGAGTTTGCCCAACCAGTCTACATGTGCTTTGTGGACTTTGAGAAGGCGTTCGACCGCGTCCCTCGGGAACCCTGTGGGAGGTACTCTGGGAGTATGGGGTACCGGGCCCTTTGATACGGGCTGTTAGGTCCCTGTATGACCAGTGTCAGAGCGTGGTCCACATCGCCGGCAGTAAGTCGGGCTTGTTCCCGGTGAGAGTTGGACTCCGCCAAGGTTGCCCTTTGTCACCGATTCTGTTCATAACTTTTATGGACAGAATTTCTAGGCGCAGCCGAGGTGTTGAGGGGATCCGTTTTGGTGGCCTTAGGATTGTGTCTCTGCTTTTTGCAGATGATGTGGTCCTGTTGGCTTCATCAAGTCGTGATCTATAGCTTTCGCTGGAGCGGTTCACAGCCGAATGCGATGCGGCCGGGATGAAGATCAGTTCCTCCAAATCCGAGGCCATGGTCTTGAGCCAGAAAAGGGTAGAGTGCCCTCTCCGGGTCAGGAAGGAAGTCCTGCCCCAAGTGGAGGAGTTCAAGTATCTTGGGGTCTTGTTCACGAATGAGGGAAAACTGGAGCGTGAGATCGATAGGCGGATAGGTGCAGCGTCTGCAGTGAAGCGGGCGCTGTACCGGTCTGTCGTGGTGAAGAGAGAACTGAGTCAAAAGGCAAAGCTCTCAATTTACCGATCGATCTACGTTCCCTCCCTCATCTATGGTCATGAGCTTTGGGTTGTGACCGAAAGAACAAGATCTCAGATACAAGCGGCCGAAATGAGTTTTCTCTGCAGGATGTCTGGGCTCTCCCTTAGAGACAGGGTGAGAAGCTCGATCATCCAGGAGGGACTCAGAGTAGAGCCGCTGCTTCTCCACGTCGAGAGGAGCCAGTTGAGGTGGCTCGGGCATCTGGTTAGGATGCCTCCTGGACGCCTCCCTGGTGAGGTGTTCCAGACATGTCCCACCGGAAGGAGGCCCAGAGGAAGACCCAGGACACGCTGGAGGGACTATGTTTCTCGGCTGGCCTGGGAACGCCTCGGGATTCCCCCGGAAGAGCTGGACCAAGTGGCTGGGGAGAGGGAAGTCTGGGCCTCCCTACTTAGGCTGCTACCCCCGCGACCCGACCCTGGATAAGAGGAAGAAAATGGATGGATGGATGGATGGATGGATGGATGGATCTACAGTTAAAACATTTGGTCTGATAAAATAAAACACTATGAGAATTGAGCAAACAGCTGTTGGACCAGTTTAAAGAGGCGCATGACTCAAACATAGAGGCATTGTCTTCGATCAGTATAAAGGACTTATTAATATAAAAGCACATTCAGGTTATAGATCAAAACAAAGTGGGAAATGGAGGGAGCAATAGATACAACAGAGGAAGAGTGAAGGACAGTCTGTGAATATAAGTTGAAGTGTAGCAGCTCACCGACGGTGGAAAAGTTAGATAAGAGACTTTATTACACGTAACAAAAATCACACTAGATGAAGACACTAATGAAAAAAGGCTGAATGAATAGAGGTAATGAGAAACTGTGGAAATAAAAGTGCAAATCATTACCACAGTTTTGGGACTGTCAAGTATTAAAACGTACTGGAAGGAGATCCATCAGAGAGAGCTGCAGTTTTTGGCACGAAGCCTTTAAACCGGTCGAAGCAGATGTTCGCTCGTCCTGGTCCTGGTTCTTCTGGAGGTGTCTTCCTGTTGAAGGGAGTTTTTCCTTCCCACTGTCTCCTTTGTGCTCGCTCAGGATGGGAGCTGTGACAAAGTGAAGATTCAACACAGACTGCTGCTTCCTTAGATAAAAAAGTTACTAACTGGTTTTGTGAATATTTCTGTTCGACGCCCTGAGACTCCTTCTGTTGTGACTTGGAGCTACAGAAATAAACTGAATTAAATTAAACGCTTTGAATAAATCATTTAGCAGAAAAACAGACGTGTTGAAATTAAAACCTTTTCATTTTATATTTATCGTTTTTAAAATGTGTTTTCCAGCTTTGAGCCTGAAATGCTTGCTTTATGTATTTTTGTGTTGATCCCAGAACAGGCCACCACGGAGCGGACTCTGCTGAGGCCCCTCCCCCCACCTGAGCGCAGGTGAGGCAGGTGTATAAAGGAGCCTTTCTCCTCCCCAGCAGCTCCACACACTGAGATCTTTGTCACAAACTGTGGGACTTCCTGAGGAAGATGGAGACGCTGCTCACTCTCTGCATCGTTCTCACGTTCTCGGCTTCAGGTAAAAATAAATACAAACAAAAAGATTCAGGTTTTGATGCTTTGAGAGGATTTGACCGACCACAGCTTCAGACTTTACAAAAAGATGATTCAGAGATCACAAAGATGAAAGGAGATCAAGTTTTCCTCGGTTTATTGAAGAAAGTCAACTATCAACTATTTGTGTCCAAACAGCTGATAAAATTAACAATATATGTCTTCATATTTATTCCCAGCAATGTTTATTCATTTAAATGTTTTCAGCAAAACCTTAAATCTATAAATGTCCGACAGTAAAACTTCCTGATTTCAGCCGTTTAAATATGAACGTTTTCCTTCACGCTCAGTAACTTTAAATACTTTAATAAGTGAAAACAGTGAAAAAGCTGTAATGAATGTTATTTTGTTATAAAAGTGATTTAGAGCCCCAGATGATCTCAGAACAAACCGTTCGGTGCTTTTCACCATCGGAAACACTAAAGTCTCTAAAAATATAATATAAGTATATATATATAGTAGTCCCTCGCAGTGGTGGAGGAAGTACTCAAACACTGTACTTAAGTAAAAGTACAAATAAACAGACAAAAATGTACTCTAGTAAAAGTAGAAGTACCACATTAACGTTTTTACTTAAGTAAAAGTAAATAAGTACTTGCTTTTAAAAATACTTAAAGTATTAAAAGTAAAAGTACTTGCTGAATGTATTACATAATGCAGAGGTCTACAATATCATTAAATGTACAAAGTGCCTACCATATGTATATTTTCTGTAAATATTCTGTTCTGCAGATAATACATGTTTTTATTGTGTTTACTCTGTGACACAGTTCAACCTGGACTTGTGATTCTGTGTCAGAATTTCAGGGATGACCTGCAGAGTTAAAGGTCGTTAATCAAAATAAGAGG